GAAAAAAGTTTTGCAATCAAGTCCATCAATAGTAATGAATGAATGAATAACAAAAAAAAAACATTACTATTCATTTATTTTGAACTATTGATGTTTGATTGTTCGAGAGTATGCATATTACTACGGAATATTATAATCCTTGAACTATCGAAAATTCCGTGCTTAAATTGAGAGAAATAAATAGAATGATGTACCGAAATCCATTACTCTATTGCAACTACGCATATACTATGCATATCATTTATTGATTGATTCAAAGTCATAACACAGGCTAAAAACATTTCAAATTGGAAAAAAATCCAGACACGTGACTAGGTATATCTGAAGGCTTTTGATGCGCTGAATCTAAATCTGGCCTCATAATTCGTTCATCGCCTCTGGTTCTTGAGATATCCTGACCTAAAAATACCAAAAACATTGTTTTTAGATGTCTTTAAGGTCATGTCACACCTTGTATAAATTTTTTTTCTCTATACCGGAAATACCGCCTTAAAGTGTATCTCTTACTCTTTAAAATCTTCTTTCCAAATCTCGAAAATCTTTTTTTTTCACCGAAATATCGTTGTTTTAAGTTTCATATTTTAGTGATTTCGAGAAAATTGTGTTCTGATGGTCAAGGGTTATTGCCGTACAGAATCTGTGGGTTAAGGAAATTGGGTTGTAAGGGTCCAGGATTATTGAAATGCAGGTTATAGAGCTCGTGGATGGAGGAAATTAGGTTGTAAGGGTTCAGGGTTATTGCTGTGAAAATTACAGGGCTCGTGGGTAAAGGAAATCGGGTTGTAAGGGCGTAGTGTTACTGCCAGTGGAATATATATGGATCACATACATCCAAGTTCAGTTTTTTCAGCTTCAAAAAACATTGAGTAACAATTACTGTCACTTGAAGTCACTCTCGAAACCGCTAAAATACAAAATTTCAAATAACGATATCTCGGTGGAAGAAGGTGGTATTTCCGGTTTGGAGAAAAATAATTTATTCAAGGTGTGACGTAACCTCAAAGATAGGCAAAAACATTGTTTTTGGCACTTTTAGGTTACGATATCTCGAGAACCATAAGTGATGGACGAGTTTTGACGCCAGATTTGGATTCAGTGCATCAAAAGTCTTTAGATACACCTAGTCACGTGTCTGGGTTTTTTTGGCTTCCGACCTGTGTAATGCACGTAATATATGTATCTACAATGTACCTAATGCCTATTGCAACTATTCATGTAGTTTAATATGTATTTCTCAAGAACGCGAGTAATTGCACAATGTACAATAATAATGTGTGTAATTGCATTATTACATTGCAACGTATTTTTGAATAATTTATTATTATTCTTGATATTATTATTGATATTCATAATATAAATATGTTTCTATTAATTTCGTATTTATTCATTATGCTACATTCATATTTGTTTGACTCAGCTTGTTTACACGAATTCTCATTAAAATGAAAAATAATTTATGTTATGTAAAAATTAAACTAATTTATTGTTTTCATTAGCGATGTGTATGACATTATGAAGAAATTGCTAGAATATGGAATCAGTATTGTAATCCGCAATTGTAAACACGTTGATCACCGCTATCACCTATAGATTTAGTATGCGCATCTCGACTTGCCTTCTCCGTCGCGACTCGCTGTCGCGCAGCCCGTCGGCCGTAGTCAGCCGCTCATTGACTAACTAATTCAATCGTGATTATCGAATCATATAATTATCAAAAAAAAAAATTTTATTGCGCCATCTTATTCAATTTTTTAAGACGAATCCAATGGTACCAAACTCTTCATTTGTTTCAGAATCACCCTGTGTTTTAAATATTCAAGTCTTTCAGAGACCTAAAAATATTTTTATTTGTAAGGAGTTTGCTTATTTACCAGTATGTTCTGATACTTCACTTACAGTACTACTTTTTAAACCACCGCATCATTGACTCAAACTTCCTATCGAATATCAAAATATTAATAAATGGCTGGTTTAGATCATCATGGCATTTATATTTTATTATCGTTATTTGAAATATTGAATACATACAATTTTATAGGTATATTATAGAGAAATGGTATAATACCATATAAGTTTTCAAATTTCACTGTATATAATCATTTACACAATTCTAGGAATATTTATGTGAAAGGATTATAAAGAAACAATGTCTCAAAAAAATTATTCCTGAAAAGTAGGTTGAAATAACACCGTCACACAAAAAAAAAGTGGTCTGTACTTTTGAGGAGACATATATACTCTTATGTATTTTGACCCGCTGAATCCGAATCCGTCGTCAGATATACCAATATACGTCCAAACTCTTATGCAACATCGAAAAATAGTTCAAAACGCGAGAAAACGAGAGAAATCGACGTTTTTTATTGAGACATCGAGCACTTAAATACTTTTACACGTAGAATAGACATGTTTTTCACATATTTTGATGCGTTGAATCCGAATCTGCCATCAAAATTGATCGGGCACCTCTAAGTTTCTCGAAAAAGTCGAAAACAGCTCAAAAGCAATGAAAAATGCAGAAAATCGTCATTTTTCACTTTAAAATCAAGCCATACAATTTTTTCACCTAAAATAAGCATATCTCTAAAGTATTTTGACTTGCTGAATCTAATTCTGCTATCAAAATTGACCGGACATCCCTAAGGCCTTCAGAAAAATCGAAAAATGTCTTAAAATAGTGAAAAAATAGGGAAAATGCGACATCTTTTATTGTAAAAACACGAATTTGAAATCGTTTCTACACAGAATAAGCACGTTTCTTACGTCACTTGACTTTCTGAATCTAAATATAAGCTCCTCTCAACTCTATTGATTAACTTTTATTGAAAGTTTGAGAAACATTACTTGATTTACCCGTTGTTAGGTATTCATCTTCCTCGTCGATATCAGTTTCATCTTCTTCCTCAATGGTTTCGACAATATTCATCTCTTCATCCTCGCAGCAGTCTACGAGGTCTGTCCGGAAAGTATCGGGCCTACCTTTATATTTTCGTGCTAGCGTTATTCTTTATGATCTGGTGGGTGGCATCCTTCAAAGTAATCCCCACTTGATTGAATTACAGGGTTCCATCGATCTTTCCACTTTTCAAAACAGTCCTGGAACTCACTTTTAGGGATAGCCTTAAGTACACTCGTCCCATTGTTTTCAACCGTTGTTTTGTCATCGAATCGGTGTCCTTTGAGTGGTTTTTTTAGTTTTGTGAACAGCCAAAAGTCACAAGGGGCTATGTCGGAACTGTATGGAGGTTGTCGAAGTAATGCGATATTGTGTTTGCTCAAAAACTGCTGCACAAGATTGGATGAATGCGCTGGCGCATTATCGTAATGGAGAAGCCAGTCACCACTTTCCCAATAGTGCGGCCGTTTTCTACTTACTGCATCACGCAAACGTTTCAAAATTGGAACGTAGTATTCTTTATTGATTGTCTGACCTGTGGGTGCATATTCGTTATTTACAACACCTTCACAATCGAAAAAAACAATCAACATTGACTTAACATTGCTCCGACTTTTACTTGCTTTTCTTGGTCTTGGCCATTCAGAATGCTTCCACTGTGAAAATTGTTGTTTTGTTTCAGGATCATAACCATAAACCCATGATTCATCACCTGTAATAACTTTTCTAAGCACAATATCATCATTATTGACCATTTCTAGATTATCCAGAGCGATTTCTAAGCGAATGTTCTTCTACTCTGCTGTGAGCAATTTTGGGATGAATTTCGCATACACGCGTTTCATTCCTAAATTTTCGGTTAAAATTTCTGAAATGATAGTTTTTGGTATCCCAAGGTCTTCTTCTAATTCTCGCACAGTCATACGACGATCTTGTTCGATTGCAAGTCGCACCCGCTCAATATTATCTGCGGTTTTTTGTCGTCGAGAATCACTATCGACAAAAGTGCGACCATCCTTGAACCATTTATACGATTATTTTATTCGTGTTTTGCTTATACACTCGCTTCCGAAGGCCTTTTGCATCATTTCAATAGTTTCCGAACTCGTTTTTCCGAGTTGAAAGCAAAATTTGATGCAAATTCGTTGATCTTGTTTTTCAGTCATTTTTGATAATATCAAAATCCTACGAACGCGAAAAAGGCACTGTAAACAAAGACACGCTGCGCATGAACTATACGTCCGGCAGGTGTCAGTAAGTAACCAATAAATTCGTGAGGCTTTATTGTTGACGTTTCTGTCCGGTAGAGGTCGCTCGTACACTATGGCGCAAAGATATAAACGAAGGCCCGTTACTTTCCGGACAGACCTCGTATATCTATGCGTGCGGGAACATTCACATCTTCTTCCCTTCTTTTTTGTTTGCGTAACCGATGGAACATCTGCATAAGAAATGCGAGATTTGATAGACATTGAGAAACCTTTAATATTTGTCATATAAAAATAACAGTTTTCTCGACTCATTGGATGAGACCATATAACTGGTGTAATGAAGCTCAAGTCTTCCATTTTTCGAGACTTTTTCCATCACATCAACATCTTTTTGCAATTACAACTAGAAAATCCTTGAATTCTTAATTTTTCACTTTGTATCTTAAACCTTGGTAAAAATGGAAGTAAACAGTTTTGATTATTACATTTCATTCACAAATAAAACTGATATTTATTATTTTTTGTTATATGAGCTCAAAAGACCTATAACTGTGAAAGAAAAGAAATCTTAAATTATTTTAATTTATACTTAAACTCGTGTTGTTATAAGAGTCAAGCCTGAATGTTTTATTTTCTCTAGATTAGATAACTGAGAATTTGGAATTATACTGTAAGGATAAAATACAAAATACTCACTAATTCAATAATTGCATCATAATATTAAAAAAAGTTCAAAATAATAAATAAATATGCTATTATTACTTTTCAACAACATTCTTTGAAAAATGAAAAATTTTAGAATTTATCAGAATAAAACTTGTGGTGGTCATACTTTTTCACCCAGTTTAATCGTAATTTTTCAATTATAATATTTATGATATATTTTACTTTAGGTATGCTACAGGACGAACTACTGGTGTAGTTCTTGATGCAGGTGATGGTGTAACTCATGCAGTTCCAATATACGAAGGCTTTGCAATGCCCCATAGTATTATAAGAATAGATGTTGCTGGTCGTGACGTCACAAATTATATGAAATTGCTGTTAAAAAAAGAAGGAATAAACTTAAATACTACTGCAGAGTTTGAAATAATAAGAACTTTGAAAGAGCGAGCTTGCTACTTGGCAAGTAATCCGCAAAAAGAAGAATCTGTTGATACGGAAAAATTTACTTTTATGTTACCAGATGGTAGTCATATAGAGGTAAATAAAAATTTTAGTTAATAATGAACCTTAAGAACAAAATTTACTAATTATTAATAAATGGATGTATTTGGATATATAAAAATATTATTATTATTGTGGATTTTATACATATAAATTATGTCAATATCCTTTATACAGCGTGATTCAAATTCATATGTCAGTATGGATACCGTTGGATTCGTCTTGAAAAGTTATTCAAGACGCCATTATTAGTTTTTTTCCGATAATTAGGTAATTAGATAAACTTGAAAGATCGACTAATCAGCGCGCGGCTTTAAAAGTCAGGGCGAGCGCGGAGCGGCTATATAGAAGCGGTGCTCAACCTTGATTCGCGACATGAGCTCTCCAAGCTGATAGACTCATATTCATTTTATAGATGGAGTCCTATAGATTGTTCGACAATAATATAAAATTATGAGGACGCACGATTAATTGACAAATTCAATAATCCAATTATAATTATTTCATAGACCATGTAAATAATATAGCATCACATACGCTTTAATCCATGCGAAAAGCAGCGCCCAAAAGCCAGATTGTTAAATGATAAATTCGTCAACGTGATTATTCGCACCAAGATTATGGTAATTACAAGACTGCAATCATGTAATTTGGTTACTTGTTATGTTCTTGGGGTTGGATTCTGAGTGTCAGGTTAATTTTTCGACTAGCCTGGAGTTGCGAAAATTTTCCTGAGAAAATTTCTTCCCGAAATACTGGAAAATTTCTTCCCGAAATACTGGAAAATTTCTATTTTCGTTTTACGGCCGTTAAGATGAGTCTATTAAAATAATGTTCAATGAATAAAATAATATTCATTTCAAGCTCCGAATCAAATCATAGTATTTAAAACTAAACAAATATTGTAATTAATATTATAAAAAAAACTAAATAGTGTTCTAGCAACCATAGTAGTTTCATAATAAATCAGACCAGTTCACAATAATTAATCATAAGATTTCTGTATTTTTGCGTCATATAAATTTATTATTGATTCCCTAGTCCTAAGTAACAATGCTGAATTGCAATTAAGTACTGCGACAAACACCTATTTGCTGTAATTAATTAATAATTATTGATAATAAGCAGACTTTTTCCAGGACTTTTTTGACGATTTTTTTGAGGACTTTTTCGAGGACTTTTTTGAGGACTTTTTTCAGGATTTTTTCGAGGACTTTTTCGAGGACTTTTTCGAGGACTTTTTAAATGACTTTATCAAGGACTTTTTCAAGGACTTTTTCCAGGACTATTTCGATGACTTTTTTGAAGACTGTTTGGAAGACTTTTACGAAGACTTTTACGAAGACTTTTTCGAGGACTTTTTCGAGGACTTTTTTGAGGACTTTTTGGAGGACTGTAGGAAGACTTTTTCGAGGACTCTTTTGAAGACTTTTTCGAGGACTTTTTCGAGGACTTTTTGGAGGACTTTTTAAAGGACTTTTTATAGGACTTTTTGGAGGACTTTTTAAAGGACTTTTTGTAGGACTTTTTGGAGGACTTTTTCAAGGACTTATTCGAGGACTTTTTCGAGGACTTTTTTGAAGACTTTTTCGAGGACCATTTGGAAGACTTTTACGAAGACTTTTTCGAGGACTTTTTCAAGGACTTTTTCGAGGACTATTTCGAGGACTTTTTAGAAGACTTTTTCGAGGACTGTTTGGAAGACTTTTACGAAGACTTTTTCGAGCACTATTTCGAGGACTTTTTTGAAGACTTTCGAGGACTGTTTGGAAGCCTTTTTCGAAGACTTTTTCGAGGACATTTCGAGGACTTTTTTGAGGACTTTTTTGAGGACTTTTTGGAGGACTGTAGGAAGACTTTTTCAAGGACTTTTTCGAGGACTTTTTGGAGGACTTTTTAAAGGACTTTTTGTAGGACTTTTTGGAGGACTTTTTCCAGGACTTTTTCGAGGACTGTTTAGAAGACTTTTTCGAAGACTTTTTCGAGGACTTTTTTGAGAACTTTTTGGAGGACTGTAGGAAGACTTTTTCGAGAACTTTTTCGAGGACTTTTTCGAGGACATTTTGGAGGACTTTTTAAAGGACTTTTTGTTGGACTGTTTTGAAGACTTTTTCGAAGACTTTTTCGAGGACTTTTATGAGAACTTTTTGGAGTACTGTAGGAAGACTTTTTCGAAGACTTTTTCGAGGACTTTTATGAGAACTTTTTGGAGGACTGTAGGAAGACTTTTTCGAGGACTTTTTCGAGGACTTTTTTGAGGACTTTTTGGAGGACTGTAGGAAGACTTTTTCGAGGACTTTTTCGAGGACTTTTTTGAGAACTTTTTGGAGGACTGTAGGAAGACTTTTTCGAGAACTTTTTCGAGGACTTTTTCGAGGACATTTTGTAGGACTTTTTGGAGGACTTTTTGGAGGACTTCTTTAAGGACTTTTTGGAGGACTTTTTAAAGGACTTTTTGTAGGACTTTTTGGAGGACTTTTTCAAGGACTTATTCGAGAACTTTTTCGAGGACGTTTTTCCAGGACTTTTTCGAGGACTTTTTCGAGGACTTTTTTGAAGACTTTTTTGAGGACCATTTGTAGGACTTTTTGGAGGACTTTTTGGAGGACTTCTTTAAGGACTTTTTGTATGACTTTTTGGAGGACTTTTTCAAGGACTTTTTCGAAGACTTATTCGAGGACTCTGTTGAAGATTGTTTGGAAGACTTTTACGAAGAATTTTACGAGGACTTTTTCGAGGACTTTTTCGAGGACTTTTTGTATGACTTTTTGGAGGACCTTTTCAAGGACTTTTTCCAAGACTTATTCGAGGACTGTTTTGAAGACTTTTTCGAGGACTTTTGTGAGGACTTTTTGGAGGACTGTAGGAAGACTTTTTCGAGGACTTTTTCGAGGACTTTTTTGAGGACTTTTTGGAGGACTGTAGGAAGACTTTTTCGAGGACATTTTGTAGGACTTTTTTTAGGACTTTTTGGAGGACATCTTTAAGGACTTTTTGGGGGACTTTTTAAAGGACTTTTTGTAGGACTTTTTGGAGGACTTTTTCAAGGACTTATTCGAGAACTTTTTCGAGGACGTTTTTCCAGGACTTTTTCGAGGACTTTTTCGAGGACTTTTTTGAAGACTTTTTTGAGGACCATTTGTAGGACTTTTTGGAGGACTTTTTGGAGGACTTCTTTAAGGACTTTTTGTATGACTTTTTGGAGGACTTTTTCAAGGACTTTTTTGAGGACTGTTTAGAAGACTTTTTTGAAGACTTTTTCGAGGACCGTTTGGAAGACTTTTACAAAGACCTTTTCGAGGACTGTTTGGAAGCCTTTTTCGAGGACTATTTCGAGGACTTTTTTGAAGCCTTTTTCGAGGACTGGTTGGAAGACTTTCATGAAGACTATTTCGAGGACTATTTCGAGGACTTTTTGTAGGACTTATTCGAGGACTTTTTCCAGGACTTTTTCCAGGACTTTTTCCAGGACTTTTTCGAGGACATTTTGGAAGACTTTTTCGAAGACTTTTTCGAGGACTTTTATGAGAACTTTTTGGAGGACTGTAGGAAGACTTTTTCGAGGACTTTTTCGAGGACTTTTTTGAGGACTTTTTGGAGGACTGTAGGAAGACTTTTTCGAGGACATTTTGTAGGACTTTTTTTAGGACTTTTTGGAGGACATCTTTAAGGACTTTTTGGGGGACTTTTTAAAGGACTTTTTGTAGGACTTTTTGGAGGACTTTTTCAAGGACTTATTCGAGAACTTTTTCGAGGACGTTTTTCCAGGACTTTTTCGAGGACTTTTTCGAGGACTTTTTTGAAGACTTTTTTGAGGACCATTTGTAGGACTTTTTGGAGGACTTTTTGGAGGACTTCTTTAAGGACTTTTTGTATGACTTTTTGGAGGACTTTTTCAAGGACTTTTACGAAGACTTATTCGAGGACTCTGTTGAAGATTGTTTGGAAGACTTTTACGAATAATTTTACGAAGACTTTTTCGAGGACTTTTTCGAGGACTTTTTGCAGGACTTTTTGGAGGACTTTTGGGAGGACTTCTTAAAGGACTTTTTGTATGACTTTTTGGAGGACCTTTTCAAGGACTTTTTCCAAGACTTATTCGAGGACTGTTTTGAAGACTTTTTCGAGGACTTTTGTGAGGACTTTTTTGAAGATATTTTGCGGACTTTTTCAAGGACTTTTTTGAGGACTGTTTAGAAGACTTTTTTGAAGACTTTTTCGAGGACCGTTTGGAAGACTTTTACGAAGACCTTTTCGAGGACTGTTTGGAAGCCTTTTTCGAGGACTATTTCGAGGACTTTTTTGAAGCCTTTTTCGAGGACTGGTTGGAAGACTTTCATGAAGACTATTTCGAGGACTATTTCGAGGACTTTTTGTAGGACTTATTCGAGGACTTTTTCCAGGACTTTTTCCAGGACTTTTTCCAGGACTTTTTCGAGGACACTGTTTGGAAGACTATTTCGAAGACTATTTCGAGGACTTTTTCGAGGACTTTTTCGAGGACTTTTTTGAGGACTTTTTGGAGGACTTCTTTAAGGACTTTTTGTATGACTTTTTGGAGGACTTTTTCAAGGACTTTTTCGAAGACTTATTCGAGGACTCTGTTGAAGATTGTTTGGAAGACTTTTACGAATAATTTTACGAAGACTTTTTCGAGGACTTTTTCGAGGACTTTTTGCAGGACTTTTTGGAGGACTTTTGGGAGGACTTCTTAAAGGACTTTTTGTATGACTTTTTGGAGGACTTTTTCAAGGACATTTTCGAAGACTTATTCGAGAACTCTGTTGAAGATTGTTTGGAAGACTTTTACGAAGAATTTTACGAGGACTTTTTCGAGGACTTTTTCGAGGACTTTTTGTATGACTTTTTGGAGGACCTTTTCAAGGACTTTTTCCAAGACTTATTCGAGGACTGTTTTGAAGACTTTTTCGAGGACTTTTGTGAGGACTTTTTTGAAGATATTTTGCGGACTTTTTCGAGGACTTTTTTGAGGACTGTTTAGAAGACTTTTTTGAAGACTTTTTCGAGGACCGTTT